TCAGTGCGCCCTGGCAATTGCTCTTTGAAGTAGAAGTGCACATTGCAATTGAGACATGTCGTCCCCAGTGGCAGCCACGCCACACTGCACTTCTGGTCGTCTGCTAGCGAAAGACGGTCAACGAAACCGTGAAACTGTTTACCAAGGACGAAGCAGATTTTTCGCTAACAATGTGCGCCAGCAGAAATAACAAGTACAGTAAAACCTCGTTATAACAAAATGGGATATAACAAACTAATGGATATAACAAATCAATCATAATTCCCCTTGCTAGCTAATAGTGGGAAGAAATTGACATTGGCTATAACAAACTAATGGTTATAACAAAATAATTACGACCGCTCCTTCAACTTTGTTATAACAAGGTTTTACTGTATAAATATTTTTAGGGTCATCTTTTTGATTAGGAATTTTGGTAGATTATTCCCATTACTCCAATAACGACAACCGATACTTCGCCGACGCCTTAAACCATGCATCATATTGCTATTGAAGATATCAAAACAATCAATTAAGACTGCTTGCTTATTATTTCCTCTGTGTGAGTTTCGCGAGAGCAAAGAACCACCAATGCACACAGGCAAGATGTTTATGTGGTGCGAGCATGGGTGATACGCTTCATCGTGAAAAACGGGGCAAAAAAAAAAAAAAATGACGAGGACATTTTGTGTGTTTCTTCTACGTCATCGTCGTTTATTTCGCGCTGTTTTCCATGAAGCGTATCACCCAAGCTCGCACCGCACCAGGGTTGGGCGGTATCGCGATACAAATCTATCGCGATAGTATTTCAGGAACACATATCGTATCTGTATTTCTGTATCGCGATACATTTTTTTCACCAGTATCTGTATTGCTGTATCGAAATACATTATGAATGTTCCTTTGTATCGCGATACAATCAGGGTGAAATGTATTTCGTTACCTTTCTTGAGAAATACTCCCCCTCCCCCCCCCCCCCCTCCCAAAAAATACAAATCCGAACGCATTTTTTTTTTTTTGTTTCTGAGGGCACCAGGGTCAAGGAGATGCTGAGGCATTGTTACCCTACTGACCAAGGTTCCTTCCGATTCTCCAAACTCTTTTTCTATGCGTGCTCTTCTCTCTTCTGAGAACTGTTGTGTAGTCGGGGACTCGAACCAGGTGGCGGGCCAGGAGTGGAGTTGGAGCATTTTCTGCCGCAGGTCCTTAGGCAGGAGTTTCTTGAGTCATTGTTTGCTGGCATCCAAAGCCCGCTGCTAACCGTCCCTCTCGCCTTGGCGTACACAGTACACCCAGCCGACAAAGCTGAGTCACAGTCCGCTGCAGCACATGCCTGGTGGTGGTTGACTTCAAATCGTAGGATGACTTACGCTGTGAAGTTTCACACATATTGGAATCCGTTTGCGGCTGCGCCTGTAATATCGTACGGCTCAAGGATACGTCATCAGCCGACATGAACGTGACCCGCTGTTCTGGTGATCCGAAACCCAGGAAGGAGGCCATACATGGCCTCGCTGTGCCGACCCAAACTTCGTACACCTGCGACTCGTCTTGAGCGCACTGTTTCTCGGAGAGCTCACACCTGTGCCGGCAATATCAGGTTGCAATCCACAAGGTCTTTATTTGGAGTATGCAAGACGAAACTTGAGGACTGCAATCCATGCGTCGGTGGCAGAAGGTCGGCAGGAAGGACCTTCACAACAGGGATGCCACCATATTGTTTTTTCAACCGTAACAGAAGATAAGACATGTGTTCCAGGGTGCTTCAGGTGGTTCGCTATTCTTGAAAATTCCAAATGACACTGCCTGCACCATCTACATATGAGGTAACCTACAACGAAAGCACATATGTATTGTCCTTTCATACAGCAGCGTGGTAAAGTGTCATGTTCAAGGCCACACCTACAGATAAAGAATACCAGTTCATTCCACTGTGACGTCGTGTGATAAATGTTGACAGGGGCGTGGTGACGTTTTGATGGGATTTAGGATGACACAGAATTTATTTAGAGGTCGAAGTCCTTTCGCATTCCTTGTCAGACAGACAGAATGTCAGGGAGGGGACCGCAGTCAATCCTTGATGGAACGTTTTTTCGAGTCCATTGAGAATACCTTGTCGTCCGAAGTCACTACCTTCAAGGCAAAGTGCCAAGCCTTCGGGAAAGTAATTTCAGGATCAAAAACTTCCACTTCCAACTTCAATCTTCATCTCATTTGGCGTCTCAAACAAATTCGAAAAATGTATTGCAGTATCAGTATTTCTGTATTTGTATTTCTGCCCTCCCTAAAATGTATTCCTGTATTTGTATTTCTAAATACTTTTTGCCTCTATTTAAAATGTATTTCCAATACGTATCGTGATACACTTTTACAGATATAGGTATTTGAGTATCAGTATTTCAGCTACTATTTTAATGTATCCCAGTATTTGTATTTCCAAATACATTTTTGAGTATTTCTGCCCAACCCTGCACTGCACTAACTTCTTGCCTCTGCTTATTGGTGATCCTTTGCTCTCGCAAAACTCACTCGAAGGAAATAATAGGCAGTCTTAGTTGATTCTTTTGATACCTCCGATAACAATATAATGCATGCTAAAAGGTGCCGGCGAAGTATCGGATATTTTTATCAGAGTCATAGAAATAATCTACTAAAACTTCCTTAAAAATATTTAGACAAGTTATTTCTGCTGGCACACATTGCTAGCGAAAAATGCGCTTCATCACTGGTGAACAGTTTCGTGGTTTCGCCGGGCGACCGTTTTTCACTAGCAGATGAACCGAAAGTGCAGAAGAGTGGTGCGGTGATCGCTAGAGTTGATGTCTCGACCACAAGGTGCACTTATACTTCAAAGAGAAATCGCCCGGGGGCACTGATAGTACCGCGGGCCACGCGGAGCGGTGTTCGCACTCATATTGATCGTGATAGTACCACGAAAGACGGCAAAAGCTAAAGTGTAGATAATGATAACGAATTGGGCCATACGCAGAAATCATTGTGTAGTTGTAACAGTAATGTTAAAAATGTTGCGCGCCATGCTTATTGCGCGTGAACATGGTTGCAGAGCACAAGCATTCGTGCTCGCGCTCCGCTGCAGCGGCCGAGAGCCGAGTGGCACGTCACACCACCTGTGCTTGCGGCGCGTGAAGTCGGGAACAGAGTGCGAGGATTTGCGCTCTTAGGTTGTCTACAATGGCACGCAACAAGCTAAGCGATGAAGAGTGCCATGAAAGACGACAATGTGCAAAAAAGGGGGAAACGCTATGCCTAACGAAAACAGCAGCGAGGTGCGAAACCAGTAACATTTCACATGTCACATGCTCATTTTCTTCAGTATTGGCATGGGCCTTAGTTGCACCTGGTCTGCAAATTTTGATGTTTTCCACCCTTCTATATTTTATCACCATGGGCGTCGCTGATAATGGCAGGGGGCGAAAGAGGAACCCAGAAGTGTTGGAAGTCAAAACATCTCAATCTCTTTTTAAGGCATGTTTATAGGTTCTGTAATTCAAATGTCTCTAGTAAATGTGCATATGCAGTGATGTGTCTGTCTTAATTCTCTTTTTTTGGATCATTACCCAGAACGCTGATGAGATGGCCAAACTTCGCGAGAAGTACAGGAAAGCGAAGAACAAAGTTCGAAGATTAAAAGAAGAGCTGCAGACCGTCACAGAGCTGAACAGGGACCTCCAGAGGGCCCTGGTACAGAAAGAAGGTGTGTGCTAAATAATAGACCCTTTCAGGAATTGCTGCTGGCAACCGCAGGAAGCTGTGTTTGATGATGTTGGCAACAGGCAACACTGGCTGGGCCACCATTAGCATTTAACTGTCTCTACCGCGGGTGCTGTTAATGCTGCTGCTGATAGTCTTGTATGGAGCAGAAGTTTGACTGCAAGTACTATCACAGATGAGGCTTATTTATTGACTACGTTGAAAAGGTATACCAACATCCTTTCTCCCTTACAACAAGCAATGTTAACCGCCAGTGCTGTTCAGAACCAAATGCATCCCCAGAATCTACGAGTTGTCATCGCTCGAAAGTGTGACATTTCTACATGGGTCACTCAATGATTTCACTGGGTGTTTACCCTAATGTCCCATTCACACTGGAAGTGGACCCAAAAAACGTGAAGGGATCCACAGGTTTACAGCTGCAAAAACGGTTGGAGCATGTTTTCAGAATTGCTCCGGTACCGATTTTTCAGAACCGCCTTTGCTGACCATGAAGCTGTTGGCAAAAGCTCACCAATAGCAACTCAATGCTGTCGTGATGCTGGCACTAGTGTGGTGTTGGCACTAGCTAGTTTTGATTAAACTTCTTCCCTTCGTTCTAAACGTTTGTGTGACTAGCGTCTTGCTTTGAGATTCATTCAAGGTGAGGCAGTGGCTGAGCGTTTTAGGCCTAGCGTCTGAAATGCAGCAGCAGCACAACTGGAGCAGGCAAACAAGCTGGCAATCTGGTGAAATAGATTCAGAAGGAAATGTGTGAGACAAAATCAACACAGCCCTCATCTGTTCCTTGCTCACTGATTCCGAGAGCTTCCTGCTGCGGGTGTTTGTTTTACATACAGGGTGTCGGAAAAAAAAATTTACAAGTTTTTTTTTTACCGCAAATATAAACTAGGCATCGCCGAAAGCTCATTCTTCACCCAAAGGTGGCGCTAGAGGTCACAACCAATGCAAAAGTTTCGGCCCAATCCGATACCATATTCAAAAGTTATTAGTGCTTTTCTGAAAAGTGCAATTGCAAAATGGCCGCCAACGGAGTTTTTGAATTCATGGGGCTCTATGGCACCCAAAACCGAAAATGGGCAAAAATGGGCTCCATTTTTCCATTGAAATTTTCAAAAAATCACTTATAACTTTTGAATAAGGTATCGGATCGGGATGAAGCTTTGGCATCTGGTTGTGACCTCTAGCGCTACCTTTGGGCAGAGAATGAGTGTTCGGCGATGGCCTAGTTTATATTTGCAGTAAAAAAAAAACACTGTAAATTTTTTTTTTTTTTTTTTTGTGACACCCTGTACATTTGTTGGACTGCTTCCTGCTAGTGTAATGATGCACAACTTCTGCCATGGCCAACAACTGTCAATCAGAAGGCTCGGTGTGCTTGCAGTAAGCGGGTTCTATGGAATGCGATAGTCTGGAAACATTTAGTGGTTTTAGGCTGAACCAATCAGCTGCCAGCCTTGTGCTAGGTGTGCTGCTCTCCCTGTGCACCTGGAGGCAGGCAGTGCAGTCATGCTGCTCAAAGATGGTGGGCGGTTGCTTGAGCTGTTGTGGGATCATTGTCCCACTGTCAGCTTTTAGTGCACCAACACACGATACGTGACGCTGCTATGCCCTGTGGTGATTAATGTTATACATTTTTGACAGAACAAGTCAGGGCAGTAGCGCCAGTTGCCATACCTGCTCCTGCACCACCTCCTGTGATGGAAAGGGCCGCACAACCAGCTGCAGCCTTTGGCCCAGTGGCAGCTCCTGTGGCTGCTGAAGCATTCGCTGCAGCAGGCTCCAGTAATGAGCCTACGTACGAGCTGCTGACATACACTGAGGAGGGTGATATGGTAAGTTGATTCAGTAATTGTTAGTTTCATAAGATATTTGTGGATGGGAGGCTTTTTTATGTTAGCAGGAAGTTTTCATTATTGAAAGTCTGGGCCTATTGAACGGCACTGACCATTTTTCACTGACCATGTAGGAAGTGCTAAAATTTGCACGTCAGGAATATATTTAGGCACCATCATGACAAATTATTCCTTGGTTTTGCAGCAAGACACCAGCATTGGCACAACCCAGTGCATGAAAGTCATAATGTTGTAGAAAACATTCAGAAGCGAATTAAACTTTGTAGGTAATCTAGACCTGTTCCCATAGCATTCTGTGCAAATTCATTGGACATTAAAGGGTAAATGGTTTAAAGGCATACTGAACCGAAATTTCGAGCTCACAAGACAAGGCTGAACGCTGCAAAACCCGAAAACATCATACAGCGATATCTCTAACGGATCGCCATATTTTTGGGAAAGACGTGCACGATTGAACATGGCCGACGAGCCTGACGAGACAAGGCACGTCACGATTCTCATTCCTTCTCCTTCTCGCTACGTCCCGTCAAGCTGGTGAACCGAAACGAGGAGAAGAGAAGCCAAGGCGCTTCCCCTCATTCTCAAATTCTCGAAGGACAATTACGTCAAAGACCGCGCTTGATCGCACCCTTCTTTTCCAAAAGTATGGCCATCTGTTTGAGGTATAGATGTATGAGTTATGTTCTAGAGTTCGTAGTGTCCCGTTCAATGCTTCTGCAACCTCATTTTGCAATATCCAAATTTTGGTTCAGTATCCTTTTAAGCCTCACATTTTTCATTAATGATACTATTTGACTTCTGCAATTCTTTCTACATTTGTTAGGCGCGTGCAAGCGAAACTTGTGCGTCTTTGGAGTATCAAGGGAGCTTCCTTTTTGTTTTTAGTCTGCCCTCTGTTGCTTTGTTACTTAAGGTGAATTCATGTGGTCAGTGTTCAGCAACTTTTTTGCCAAACACCCAGCAACAGCATTGGTGTGGTCACGATACGGCGGGTGCAATGCGTTCGGGTGGCGGTTTTTGGGCAAGCACAGGCATCTTACTTTTTCTGTCCAAGCTCCAAACAACCTGGCCAGCAGGCAACCACACTATATCCGGTGTCCTCATGTCCAGATTAGGAAAGGAGATTAGTTAAGGAAATCAACAAACGAGTGAAATGGATCCAGTGTCTGTTGGTAGCTGTTGTGCAGGGACACAGTGCAAGCAATGCACGCGAAATGATGCACATCGGTGGCGGCATCAACAATGGCCTCCCATATTTGTATCATTGATGTTGGGGCCATAAATGGTCTTGCTCTTTTTTGCCTTTTGCCCAGAGGCAGTATGATGCAAAGCACTAGAGGAATTCTATGAATATCCAGTGCTTCAGTATTAGGGGGTAACTTGTGCTACCTAGGAATGATCGTGCCACCGTCCAGCATTTCATGCTCCGGTGGCGAGGGTCACATGGTCTGCCGTCGGCGCAGTTCTGATTGCGTTTAGTTTAAATAGGCAGCGACAAATTATCACTTTGGCAACCTTCCTACCACAGGAAATAGGTTATGAAACCATGGGCAATATGTGACCGTCATTTACCTTTAAAATACCTAAAATAACTGAAAAGCATCACAAAAAGCACCAGTAAGCGATGGCGAAATAGCCAAGAACAATACATGCGACATGCCGACGGGTGCGTGAGCCCGCCAGGTGAAGGCAGCCGCCGAGCCTGCAGGGTTCATTGGCTCACTCGCTGCCAAAAGAAATGGAGAAAGGCCGCATGCTTGGATCGCATGTTTGGGGGAGCCGACGAGTGTGACTGCAGCATGCTCTGGACTTTTACGTTCTGTGTGCTTTTCGGTAGTGCTCAAATTACATCGTTTGCACCATCGAAACCATCTGAAACAGAAAAACACGACCTCTGAACGTGCCCGTGGTCGCAGCAGTTCTCAGGAAATCCTCTGCCGCACTTGCAATCTAGAAGCTCGGTCGCATTTCCAATGCAGTGGTTTGACACACCATCATTTCTGCTTTTATTTGAGAAAGTCCCCCCCCTCCCCATATTTGTCACACCCCTTCAAAAATTGACACAATTTTCAGGAAAATTAGGGTGTTAATAGGGCAAGGAAATATGGTATGTTGTCCTCTAATGCCAAAGAACAAAATAAGTATGTTTGCAGAACCACTTTCTAAAAATGTTTTTACATTCCTTTTAGCACACTAAACCGTTTTCTGACCAGTCAGGATAGCTGCCTCAGGTTTGATATGTACCAAGTACTAAATAGGATTTCACTGCTTGTTCTTTCTTACATGTCTTCTTTGTAAAAGAAAGAAAAAATAGTTTGGTGCTCACAGCTGCAGTGATTGTTTTTGTTATTATGTATATTTATAGATTCCTTTGACTGTAAAGTGCTCCAGTTTGCTCTGACATTCCACTAGGGTATCATAAATACAGTAACCACTTCGCATAAATCAGCATTGCATGGAGAGCAGCTCTTTGGTTTTCACCAGGCACCTTTGTTTTGCCACCTCTTTTAATGTTTTACAGATGAACTTCACTGATGTGGGAGTTAAACTCCCGAGAAAAGCATGGGACAACGCCATGGATGCAAAGATTGGGTCAAGTCTGGCCATCAAGAACCTGGCCACGTCCGTGTGGGGCTCGGACGTGCTGCTGACAAGGACCGTGACGGGAGTGCCATCAAATGCGAACAAGGAGAAAGAGTCGAGGCCACCTTTAACGCCCAAGAAGGTGGCATTCTTAAGAGGTGAGGGCAAATCACCTGACACAATTTTAATCTAAACAGTAATCCTGTAATTTTTTTTCCTAATTAATGCCTCGTCTGAGTAGTTGGATTGTATTCTAGTGACGTGATTAATTTGTAGAAATGGCAGCAGCTCTTTCCTGCATGTCACAGTGGTGAATAGTTCAGTGCCATAGCTTAATGTGTATGTGCCATTTTGTGCCAGTGACTCGTATAAAGGCCCATTCACACTCTTGCGACCGAGTGAGACCGAGAGAGACCCGACCGGTTTTTAAACGTCTTGCAATCTCTTAGGACCAGCTCTGCGCTGCACCGCATCCGGTCCTAAGAAGTGGCAAAAGGCTTAAAAACCGGTCTGATCTCTCTCTGTCTTACTCGCTCGCAAGTGTGAACGGCGCTTAATTTTTAACCTTGTTAATGACTCTGAGTTACTCTTTGCTGAGCTCAGCACCAGCATTTAATTTTTTTTTTTTTGGCTTGCTCTGGAATAAAGATTATAAAATAGTCTAGATGAAAAAAGTCCAGCGTCTTCCCATACATTTCGGCCAGTTGGGAACAGCAGATCAGTGCACATGCAATGCCACGATCAGGTCAATACTTGTGGTTAATGTAACTTCAACACAAGGGGGGGAAAAAAAAGAAAAGGTTTGTGTATGTTTATACAGCCTAGAACTTAGTTTGCCTCAGCAGGCAGCTTGTCTCCCAGCTGTAGATAAGAAATTTGGCCAGTGCAGTACAACCACTAGCCTGGGCCTTTAACGTGCACCAGACAGTTGTGATGCACGTCCGCATGCTGGTACGATGCTCATCCAGATCAAAACGGTTAGGGATGGTGATTGAACCCAGGGTCTGTGGGTTCTGCAGCTCTAGCTTTCGCTTCACGTTCTCCGAGCTGGTGTGCACTAGCCCACTCGGCCACCGATAGCAAAACACAGCTGTAGCTGTTTTGAGACTTCGTTGTGTTTGTCCCTTTTTGTTTCCCAATTGTCTCGGGTTAACTTTAACCATGATCACCCACCAGCTCGCCTGGTCCTTAATGCTAATTTCCATATTTGTGTCTTTAGCTAATTACAAAAGCTTATAATCAGCAATGGATACAGAATTGCTCCTAATTTGCATACTTTATAGCAGCTCAAACGACCTCTTTGTAGTTTGGCCTGCTGTGACCAAGCGGGTTTTCGGGTTGAGATCAGGCTTAAACGAGCTGGACATTGAATGTTTAAGCCTTTCTGTTCCTTTGAATATCTTGTCACATGTTTTTCAGAGTGCCTCATCAAAAAACTTCAGGGGCAAGCGATGCACCCAGAGGTGATTGCAGTTCAAGCCACCACCACCAGGGTGAACAGGGTACTCGGTGAAAAAATAAACGATCTAAGACGCCGGGACAAGCGTCTGACTAAGGACTAAATAAAAACAAGACCAGCCGGTTCGTGGCAATGGCTCAATCAAATATGGCAGTCAAGCATCCATTTCCCGCAGGCCCCACACAGATCGCCCACAGAGCGTAGGATTATGAAACCGTGTGGGTCACCCACATGGTCTCCACAGTCCTGTAGGTCTGCGGGCCCCACAGGCTATGCGGAGACCTGTAGGGACCCACAGAAACCATGCGGGGACCCATAGGAACCCGCACCCGCAGAAACTATGTGGGGACCCATAGGGACCCACAGACCTGCAGGCACTATGCGGGGACCCATACACCCACACAATTTCTGTGGGACCCACAGGTTTCATAATCCTACAGGTCTGCGGGTTTTTGGAGCGGGGCTGGTCTACATCAAAGAGGACTGGGATCAGCACCAGGTTGATCTGTCAAAGTACTGCGATGACAACCAGGAAATAGTAGCAGTTCGCACCACGGTCCAGCGGCAAGTGAACGTCATCTTCACATCAGTCTACTACCGACCTATAAGAGGCAAGAAACACAACTACGATCACGGATGGATAGGGCATTTACACAGTCTCTACCCAAAGGAGCAAAAGCTTTACGGAGGTGACTTTAATCTACAGCACCATCTATGGGGTTACGATGCAAACACCAAGGGAGCGGAGCAGCTGCTCGGTGAAATGCAGGCGCACCGGATCCAACTAGTGAACAAATCAGGAGTCAAAACGCGAATGGGGGACGTCAGGCAGAAAGACACCACCCCTGATCTCACGTGGACTTCGAACCCTTACACTCAACATCAAAAGTGGAAGCGAGCCAGGGACCTCTGGGGCAGCGACCACTGGCCAATCTCCTTTGAGTTCTCACCAACTCGGAAGATTAAAGGCAGCAGCAAGAAAAGGGTCGTGAAAACGGTTCACTGGGACAAGTTTCGACAAGCGCTAGAAGAGGACAACTTTCCCGGGTCCAGCTTTGAGAGTCTGCTCAACAACGCCTTGAAAGAAGCGACCACCGAGACCAAAATTGAAGAAGATGCGCCAACTCCCGACCTGCACCTCTTGCGAATATGGGCTAAGCGACTTCAAGCGGTGCAGCGGTACCGCAATGGACGCAAGACTCCGCAAGCCCGGCGAGCAATCACGCGAGCCACGGTAGAGGCCAAGCAGTACGCTAAGCAACTCGGCACCAATAGGTGGATAGGCTTCAGCTCCTCGCTAACCGAGAAGACTTCGGTGAAGCGGCTCTGGGCGGTAAGTCGAGCCATGCTCGGGAAGAAAAAGAGCAAGAAGGGCACCAGCATACTGGCACTAAAGATGAATAAGACAGAGGAGCAGCTCGCTGACATGGCCGGAGATCTTTTCTTTCCTCAACCGCCATGTAAGGATGATCAGGGGCTCGGAAATCCGTACAACATAGAGGTCCTAGCACCGGACGAAGGCATGGACCGGCCTTTCGCTCTGGGTGAGCTCGAGTGGGCGCTCCACAAGGGGAAATCCTGCTCAGCTCCCGGCTCAGACAAAGTCACAATGACTATGCTCAAGAACCTCCCCGAAAACACCAAGCTCCAACTGCTAAATTGGATTAATCTCATTTGGATCACCGGCAAGCTGCCCGAGCACTGGAAACACTCTTTGGTCATTCCCATACCGAAACCCGGCAAGGACAAGGAATCACTAAACAATTATCGGCCAATTTCTCTAACATCATGCACGTGCAAAGTCATGGAGCGGATGGTATTGGCCCGAATTGACTGGCATCTCGAGACTACGGGGGCCTTTCATCCAGCTCAGACTGGGTTCAGGCCTTGCCTGGGCACCCAAGAAAGTCTGGCCCTGATATCGTCCAGCGTCATTCGCAACGTGCACAAATCTAAATTCCGGACCATCGTGGCCATCGACGTGAAAAAAGCGTTCGATTCGGTGCCCCACACGACAATTATCAAGGAAGCCAGCCGGCTTAACATCACCGGCAGGACCCTCAACTTCATCAAGAGTTTCCTGGAAGGGAGGACATTCTCGGTACGCTGCGGCAGGCACGATAGCGCGCCAAGAGCGAACCACGTGGGTGTCCCACAAGGTTCGGTTCTCTCGCCTACGCTATTTAATCTGGCGATGGTGGCGCTACCACACGAACTCAGTAAGATCTCTGGCCTAGAATTCACCGTATACGCGGATGATGTTTCGATCTGGGCTCATGGGGACGATCTCGAAAAGCAGCGAGATATACTACAATCTGGACTAGATATAATCGAGGCTCACCTGGCCCGTGTGGGAATGCAGGCGGCACCAGAAAAGACGAACTACACAGTCTTACGCAGCCCGAGAATTCGCGTGAAGGAGGACTATGCAGCCAAACTCAACCTGGTCCTGGCGGGGAAACGAATCCAGCCGTCCCCTTCGGTAAAGATCCTGGGGATCACCATCGAGGAGAACGGCAAAGGAGACGCTTGGCTCCGCGACACACTCAAACAGTGCAACTCGGTGCTCAGCATGATCAGACGGATCTGTAATGCACGCGGGGGAGCGTCACAAGACATTGCCAAAAAAATGGTCAAGGCTCTCGTAGTATCCCGGGTATGCTACGGAGCACGCCACTATTGGCTCACTGCAAGGCAATGGGAACGTCTCGAAGCTTTGAACAACCACGCTATGAGAGTTATCACTGGACTGCCCCGTTTCACTCCTCTCGTCAAACTGAGGCAGTACGCGCAGTTGAACAAATTGCACGACGTCGTGGAAGCAAGAAGGAACGCGCACGACGAACGCCTTAAGACGACACCGCAAGGAAGAGGCATCATGCGACTCCTAAAAAAATCGGTAGATGGCCTCCCAGAGCTGCAGAAACAACTGCCTCCGTGGGAAGACCTCGCGGCCATCACAAGCAGCAAGCCTCTAAGGGCATGCAGAAAAGGGGACACCAAACAACTGGCCCGCCGGGTAAAAGCACACAACAAAATGGTGGAGAGCTGGAAGCAAAGCAAGACCGTAGTTGCTGCTTATACGGACACTGCATCGCTTGAAGGCCCCGTCATCCTTAAGTCGGCTGCCGTGGTATTCCCAGCACTTCGACTCGAGGCAATTGAAGCATTACCCCCTACGGTGTCGACAAAGGGAGGAGAGCTGGCAGCCATCCGCCTTGCATTAGAGACGGTCGTCACTCAAGCCACCGACCTCCCTGAGAACCTCAGGATCTTTACGGATTCACAGGAGGCGGTGAAAGAGTGTCGAAACAAGAATAGCCCTAGCGTCCAAGTACGCAAGATCAAAAAGCTCGCCGCGACACTTAGGTCGCGGGGTGTCTTTACAAGAATCGAGTGGGTTCCTGGTCATGCGGGGATCCCAGGCAACGAAGAAGCCCATCAACTGGCCCGCGACGCCCTTGCTACCCCTTCCTTCCGCGGGCCCGGAGATGAAACGCTTCCACTTCAAGATCACCAATATGACGTGACCGCTCGAGATCGAGCATCCATCGTCGATTGGCAGTCACAAGAATATGACCCCGCCGAAGAAAAGGCCGGGATAAAAAATGAATACCAGGCGAAACTTGAAGAGCTCCTGCCCGAGCCGGCGCATCCCCTGCTCCCTTCACGGGGATTTGGACGACGAGGGCAGGTTCTGCTCACCCGAGTCCGCACAGAAGCAACACTATCACCCGCGAGACTCGCATCGTGGAACAAAGGCAAAAGGTCTGGCCTCTGTTCCCAGTGCGACATGAACGCTAAGGCGGACACATACCACCAAGTGTGGGTGTGCCCCAAGTATCAAGCAGAAAGGGCAAAATTTCGACCTCAGAACATTGCCACTCTGGAAGGCTGGACTCATCCCCCTGGAAACGAGAACCAACAACGAGCGATCCTGCGAAGTCTCCTGGACTTCCTCCACGAGGCAAAGCTGGAATCGTTTATTTAGTGTACATGTTTTAAATAGTATGCCGCATCCAGGCCTCGACTATTAGCCACCGATGCATTCTTACATCCCTTTCCCTGCTTAATGGCATCAATAAACGCTCTTTGAACTGAACTGAACTGCCTAGAGTCACTAAATGAGCTTTAAAGTATCATCACTCCGTTCCCCAAAATTGTGTTGGGCGCCGCCATTTTGGGTCTTGTTCAGAGCAAACGCAACTGCCGATCGTCATGATCCAAAAGTACGACTTCCTCAGCATTAGATGCGGTGCTAGGAAGCTGATGCAATATTGCAATGGTCTGTCGCGGGTTGTTTACACATTTGTGGGGGACAGAAAAGCGTTTCCTGTGAATTTAGATAAAGCTTCAGGTAACTGGCAACCACGATTTTAAGCCACAATATGGCCAAGTGTCGCTACTCTGAACCGTAGCTAATTTACTGGCACAAGCGTTAACAATGAGGAAGAGGCAGCTGTCAAAGGGTAGTGGCTTGTGGAATCCACGGGGCTTACGTCATGGCCCCTCCAGGTATTACAAGCCTCTTGAACAAGAGCATGAATAGTGTCATTAAATAAGCTACGCGTCAGAGTAGTGACACTTGGCCATATTGTGGCTTAAGATCATGGTTGCCAGTTATTTGAAGCTTTATCTGAAATCACAAGAAACGCTTTTCCGTCCTCCACTTTAAACAATACGCGACAAAGCAAAGCAACATTACATGAGCTTCCTAACACCGAATCTAATGCTGAGGATGTCGCACTTTTGAATCATGACGATCGGCAGTTGCGCCTGCTCTGCACAACCACCAGAATGGCGGCGTTCACAACACTGTCGGGGAAGAGAGTGCCGATACTCTAAGCGCAGCTAACTCCTTCTCTCTGACTGAAACTGAAAGTAAATATGAATAATACACCATTATTATAGCTTATTTAGTTATAACCAACTACACATAATGAGAGGAGGAAGCGGCCGGGTAGGAGAAAAGCGGGTTTTATGTGCGACCGTTCTAACCGTCTCAAAAGAGAAAACGCGCGAGCTTGCGCTGGTTAAAAAAAAAAAAAAAAAGGCATCCAAAGGAAAGAGGCGGCACGCTGTGCTCTTTGTTATTATGTGTCTAATTGCAAATTGTTGTGTGTATGTTTATGCAGCCGGAAGTTAGTCCGCCTTAGTGGGCGTCTGACTCTCAGCTGTAGATGAGCAATTTAGCCAGTGCGGTACAACCGCGAACCTGGGGTCTTTAACGTGCACCACGCGGTTGTGAACTTGTGATACACACGACCGCCACGCCGGTACGATGCTCTTCC